CACAGCTATTGGGAATACAGAGCACCTGCGAAGGACTTAGCTGCTGTATTTGTCTGGGGGTTTGTTTATTTCTGAAACAGGTCTTATGTAGCCCAAGCAGATCTGGAATTCACTATGTAAAAAGGATGATCTTGAACTTCTGACCTTCCTGCCTCCAACTTCCAAGTGTGAGGTATATACCACCATGCCCAGTCTATACAGTACTAGAGATCAAACCCAAGGCCTCATTCATGCTAGGCACTCTTCTAACAAGGTATAGGTCCCAACCCACTTGAGTTTGATATGCTTGTTCACAGTGTGACCCTTCTCAGTACTGACTTGGTACACTGTTAGCCTTTCATCACTGACCAATGCCTGACAGAACAAAATAAAAGGATAAAAGATGTCTTGTGCATTAGGGTTTCAGGTTTCAGTCCATAGTCAATCCATTCCATGGCTGTAGTCCTGCAGACAGGACAGCAGAGCACAGCAAAGTTGCTCACCTCATGGACACCAGCAAGCAGAAAGAGAGCACTTCTGTGCTTTCTCCTTCTTGCCTTTTTATTCCATATGGGTTCTCAGACTATTGTATGACACCATAGGATTCAGAGTAGCGCTCCCCACTTAATATTTCTAGAAATATCTTCACAAGCACAGCAGAAATGTACCTTACAAATGTCCTCAGTATTTCTCAGTCCAAGTTGACAATCAAGATTAATTGTCACAATCCATCCTCTGTCAACTTGACACCCAAACACACCTCCTTAAACCACATCTCCTAAAACCATACCTAATTTCCAAAGGTAGTGACAAGGCCATACATAATTCATAAAACATGACAGAACCATCATATGTGTACCCCTAAATACTTCAGTTCATTTCCCCCAGAGTCTCAGTAGCTCCAGAATTGCTCAACAGACAAGTACAAAGTTTCCTGAGACTCAGGGCAAGCTCTCACCTGTGAGCTCCTGTAAGGCCAAAGAGAAAGTTTGACATTTCCCAAGTACAAGGCAGAGTAAAGACTTCTATTCCAAAAGGGGCACATGGAAAGTGGGAGGAACCAAAGCAAGATGGGAATCAGCATAGCAATTATAAGCTCCTGTAGTTCCATGGCTGGCATCCCAGACATGGAGTGTCATGATCTGGGTGCCAAAAGGCTGGGTCAGCCCAGCCCCTACAGTATACCACTGCAGCCACAGGGCTCTTCCAGACTGACCCTGCTTACTGTCTAGAGCTTTCCTTGGCAGACAATCTAAATTCCTAGCATCTTCAGCTTATTGAGGTCTCTATTCCATCACAGCTTCATCTATTGCTCTTCCAAGGGCTACATCCAATACTCCTACCACTGCCATACATCATCTGGCCTCCCCAACATTCCTTTGACATCTGAGCAGAAGCCTCTATGACCTGCCTTTCAAAAACAACATCAAATTGAGGACAGTAAGGTCTGCTGCTAGCTTAAGCTATAGCCAGTTCCCAGTATAGACAAATTCACTTAATATTCTCTAGTCTGGTTCCCATTTCAACATTCCTAAGCAAAAGGTAACAAACCCTTTGAGCCAGATTTACAAAGCAGAGTCTTTACTCTGTGTGTGTGTCTATAGTCATTCTGGTCTTCTGAATTCCTCCACTAGAATCACCCATAAGTTCTACTTACAGAATGTTAAGCTGTGCCAGGCAATAAGTATCTGAGTAATTGAGCAAGGTTGGAGGAATCCAGGTAAGGCACAACTATAATATAGCTTGGTAGGTTAGTTCTTTGCCTAACATGCACAAGGACCAAGATTTGATCTCTAATCTCTAGTACAAAACAAACAAACATACAAAAAAAACTTAGGGGATAATTTCCCAGGTCATTTTGCAAAAGGGTACCTCTGCAGGTCGATATTTCATTCATCTTTTCAGTGAACTTAAATGTCTACACTTTTTTTTTTTTTTTTTGAGACAGGGATTCTCTACATAGCTCCAACTGTCCTGGAACTATGTAGAAGAGACTGGCCTCAAACGCATAGAGATGGACCTTCTACTCCTGACTGTAGGATGACTGGGGTCTCCTTGATCACTGGCTGACCTAAAAGCACCTTATCTGTTGACCTGGTACATACAATGATGCTAATCTCTAATGATTATTCATTTATTAGTCCCAACTTAAATGTGACTTCTTTTAGCTAGGTTTTTTTTTTTTTCTCTATATGCTCATTGTAAATCTGGCTAAAAGGGTTTGTTACACAGCAAAACTCCTGTGGTAGCTCAAATGCTGGACTACCTTAGCATTTCCTTTTCCAAGGGATTAGAAAGATTGTAAGAACCTCAGGGCCACAAAGTCCACTGAGAAACTGTGTCTTCTAAATATGACAGGGAAACTATACCATTGAAATATCTACAATATGGCTTTCTAAACATGACCTGAACAATTCCAATACTAGTTGACACACTAATATGAGTAAGGAAAGCTCACAAGGCCCACCCATCCCTAGATGAAGAACAAGAAATTTACTAATGCTGACAGAGGGAGAATTAGTCTTCCCCAGGGAAACGGCCCCTAATTAACTATCCAATACCAAGTGGTCAGCCCTAGAATCATATAACACAAGCAACACTAAACAGACTCAGCAAGTTGCTTTTATTTTTATTCGTGTGTGTGTGTGTGTGTGTGTGTGTGTGTAACAATGATAATTAAAGAAAAACAGGTCATGGATTTGAGAGGGAGCAGGGGTTGGGGGACATGAGAAGAGTAAAAAAGGAGGAAGAGAAATTATGCAATATTTTAATTAAAAATAAATTCTTCTTTCATATAACTCAGCCAGGCACCTTTGAACTCAACTCTCACAAAGTCTTAGAGCACTGACAAGATAGACAAGTTCTTTGCCATATTGGAATATGAATGGAACAGCCCTCTAGTCTAATTCCCAATAGAACCCTTGATACCATCTGAAACCTCACAAGCACAGTCTCTACTCTGCATTTCTTCTGAGCTCCCACCACAATCTTCATTAAGCTCTATTTAGAGTATTTTAAAAATTTTTCTAGCTTGTATGTCCAGTTTTCCAAATTCCTCCTACAAACTAGTTTCAAAGGCTTACAAACCACATGACCAGGTTTAATCACAGCAATGACCCTGCTCCCAGCACCAATACTCTGTGTAAATACAGTATTTCAATTGCTAAGATGAATGCCTGGGAGAAAAAAAATTTAAGGAGGAAAAATTCATTTTGACTCACAATTTCACAGAGTTCAGTCCATGGTCACTTGGCTCCCTGTGGCTGTCCTGGAACTCACTATGTGGACCAGGGTGGCCTCAAACTCACAGATATCTGCCTGCTCCTGCCTTCCAAGTGCTGGGATTAAAGTGTTTTAAATGTCTATCAATTCCTTCTTGCCTACTGGTCAACTTCTAGGCCATAAAATGTTTAGTCTGAAACTAACCAGACTGGTCTTAATAGAGTATGGAAAAACTAAAACTTCAAGTTTGTGTTGTTCAGTCTAATCCAGGCTTACAATTCAACTCTTCCTAGCACATTCTGGTTGCTCAGTATTAAAATACAAGCCAACTCTCCCAGTTTTCAAAAAACTACAGCCACACACATTCAGAATTTCTTAACACACGGGAGCACACAGGCAGTATGACCTTGGACCAGCTATTCAACCTCTTGTACAATAGTAATACCTGCTGATATGCCTGGGATAGAGAAGCATGTGGGACACAAATGGCTGTGTGCCTGCTAGCAGACAGTAAATATCCAAAACATACTGTCATGTTCAGCACTATTATTGCTTTATTGTTTTAAAATAAAGATACGCAAGCCCAAAATTTTACAAGTGGCAGCATTTAACTAGTTTTATAGGAGATGAAATAATGTATGCCATCCAATTGTAAAAATATCTCAAAAAATATTATAGGGACTACTAGAGAGGGGGCTTGGCAGTTAAAAGCACTTGCTGCTCTCACAGAGGACCTGGTTTCAGTTTCAGCACCCACAAGACAGCTTATGGTGGTCTGTAACTCCAGTTCCAGGGGATCTGGCACCCTCTTTTAGCCTCCAGGGAAACCAATCCCACACATGCTGCACAGACATACATGAAGGAAAAGCACTTGTACACATAAAATAAAATAATTTGTAAGGAAAAATATAGTCTCTTCCAATAGTAAAATAAAATATAATTCCTTTTTCTTAAGTACCAATAAATCATACCCAAATTAATTAGAAATACATCTAAATTAATATATCTATCTCCAATTGTAAGTTACCATATACACAATATTTTCTCCCAGATTCTTACTATGTTATAAGCATATACACTAAAGCAGACTATTTTATTTTGTTTGTGACAGAGTCTCCCTATGTAGCCCTAGTTGCCCTGGAACTCACTAAGTAGGTCAGACTGGCCTCTAAACTCAGAGATCCACCTGCCTCTGCCTCCCAAGTGCTGAGATTAAAGGCTAAGAAAAGCCATCATGTCCAGCTGAAGCAGACTTTTAAATACAAAAATTAAAAGGAAACCAGAGAGATGCTCAGCGGGTAAAGGCACTTGCTGCCAAGCCAGAACCCACATGGGAGGAAGAGAACCAACTCCCACAAAGTTGTCCTCTGACCTCCATACAGAATGAAGCATACACAAGCCTGAATACATACACATAAACACACACACACAGACACTCTCTCATGCATACACACACTCTAAATGTACAAAAAAATTTAATTACAAAGAAGTAAATAATCTACATGTTAAATGGCTGTAAACTCTATGAACAATTCATCTACCTTCTAACCTACTTAGAATACATATACTTGAAACTACAATCTCCTGAGTGTTAACAGGGAAAATGTGAGACTAATCGCACCTTATGAGCAAAAGGCAGCAAACCCAACAGCACCTCTGGACCCAGTCATGCGCAGGAGCCCCGCCTAAGCGCCTACCTTCTTCTCCCTCCCGCTGTCTGCCTGTGCAGTTTCTAGCCGGGCTTTGAAGTGTTCACAGTCCAATCTCAGCTGCTCTAATTCTTGTTCTTTGCTTTCCAGGTCTAGAAGAGACAGAAAAATACTCAAGACAAATACTCAAATCACATTCAACATTCTTACAGTCCTGTTTCTAAGCCCTTGCGGGGAGAGGAGGAGGGAGATGCTGGGGAGTAAACCCTGGCCCACGCACACTATGGTACTACACTGCCTCCAGTCCTGAAAGAAATTCTGCTGTCATTTTACTTTGTGACTTTTAAGACCTCGTTTACTGCCAGACATGTACTCAGGGCTTCAAGAACATGAGTTATTTAAAGGACCGAAGGCAGAGCTGAGAAGCCCGACCATCTCACGGCACAAACCTGTATCTGTGCCATAAAAAGCAGAAGGCATCTATCTCATGAGTGGCTGGTGCCAGCAGGAGCTGACTCACAGAGCAAGTCCCACCAACTGGCAGCCTGACTCAATGGGAACAACTGCAGTAGTAGTCAATGGAGGCGGGAAGCAGCAGAGAACAAGACCAGAAAATGCTACAGTGAGGGGGCAGTGACGACGTAACACTTCCTCTCCACCATAATCATTCAGCTTATGAGTCAAATGGCCAACAAAAAAACCAAAAGACACCCACAGCAATAAATCAATGAAAAACATTACCAACTTTAAATACAGTCATACTGCAGAAATACTGGTACTCAAGAAAATTGGACACTTAATTCAAATTTTTAAGAGTTTGGTTTAAAGGCTAAGAAAAAAAATTTGTTTGTTTTGTTTTTTTGCCAGCATGTACCAAGATTTGAGAACAAGTACTAAGAGTTAAACTATGGCTACCTAAAGCCTAATGTGCATCAGGATCCCAGGGGACTTGGACCTAGTGCATAGTGTGTGTGGTTCCATGGGTGTGGGTGGGCCTCAGAACTTACATTTCTTCTCTGTAATTTTTATTAATAATTTCATGAATGTACCTAATATATTTTGCTCATTTCTACCCTAATTATCCACTCTCATGCCCATCCCACTCCTGATGACTGCCTTATTGCCAAGAAGTCTCAGCCTGCTCTCATGTCTTTGTTGCTGCTGGTTTGTTGGGGTATTTGTGTGTGTGTGTGTGTGTGTTTTGTGTGTGTGTCCTTCTGAGTTTAATTAGTGTTGCATGAACATGGATCATGGGCAACTTATCAGGGACTACACCACTGAAGAAAATTATTCCTCTTCCCCCTGCAACCAGTAACTGCCAATAGTTCCTCAGGAAGGGGTAAAGAGAATTTACATTTATTTTTTATTTTTTTAAGATTTATATGTAGGGGGCTGGAGAAACGACTCAGAGGTTAAGAGCACTGGCTAGTCTTCCAGATGTCCATCCAGAGTTTAACTCCCAGCAACCACACGATGGCTCACAACAATCTGTAATGAGATCTGGTGCCCTCTTCTGGTCTGCAGAGATACATGCAGGCAGAATACTATAAAATAAATAAATAAATGGATCTTTAAAAAAAAAGATTTATATGTGGGGACTGGAAAGATGACTCAGTGGTTAAGAACACTAGCTGCTCTTGCAGAGTTTTGTTCCCAGCATCCACATGGAAGCTTACAACTGCCTGGAACTCTGACTCCCATTTCTGGCCTCCTCAGCACCAAGCATGAATGTGGTATGCATATATACATGAAGGTAGTCACATATCCACCTAAAAGGTAAATAAATCTTTTTTTTTAACTGTATAAGTGTTTTGCCTGCACATATATATCTATATATGTATGTATGTATGTATATGTGTGTATGTGTGTATGTATGTATGTGCATAATGTGCGTCTGGTGCCAATGGAGGTCAGAAGAGGGTGTCAGATCCCCTGGAACTGGAGTTACAGACAGTTGTGGGATACCAGTCCTCTAGCCCTCTGCAAGAGCAGCAAGTACTTTCAACCGCTGAACCATCTCTCCAGCCTAATGAAGTTACATGTCTAACAAGGTTCCTGGGTGAGACTTTATGGAAATCATACTTTAAAACCAACTACTTCAAGTCAACAGCCCCAGCTCTCTTCACCAGCAACAGGAAAGGAACACACAGTAGACAAGAGAGCTTAGCTATAGCAATGTGAGAGTATGAATGGAGGATAGTGGGACTGAGTAAGGGAGAGCAGAGCACCTCTAAGAACACATGGAGGGGATGGAGAGATGGCTCAGCGGTTAAGGGCACTGACTGCTATTCCAGAGGACCTGAGTTCAAGTCCCAGCACCCACATGGCAGCTCACAGCTGTCTGTGACTCCAGTTCCAGTTCCATGAGCAAAACACCAATGCATATAAAATAAAATTTAAAAAAAAAAAGCATCAAAAAAAAAAAAGAAGAACATATGGAAGACCATACACCCTCCACCCTCAAGGAGAAAAGGTTTACAAGCTGCTGCTCAATGAAGTGCAGGGCTTTGGGCTCCAGAGATCTGAGAAGGCAAGGGGACACTTACACACAAAACCCTAGGGACTGCCTAGAGCTGCTTGGCATCCCAAGCATTCTGGAGAAAGAAACAAGGAGAGTGTCTACATTTCTTTGAGACCCTGTCCAAGAAGGAAGAGTAGAACCCAAAGGTCAACAGACAAGCTGGAGATTGTGAAACTGGCTGGCAAGCTCCTATTCACATTTCCTAGAAGCATGCAAGCTACACTGGGCTATTTATTCTCCCCTATGTCAGAGCTTTCTTCTCTGACTTTTCAGGTATGCCGTACTATATGAACTCTATTTTGTCTTAATAATCATGACCACACAAGAAATCAATGAGCAGTGGAACTTTATGCCTTAAAAATAATATTGCTGCGTATGTAACCATGCTGAATGTCAGTTACACATACACATATGTACATTATAATCATATGACTTGAAATCATACCACATAACTAGACAGAAACTAAATAATACAATTATCAGTAGCTTAGATTTTTCTCTTTACAGCTAACTCTTAAAGTCTACTTCTATTATTGAACTGTGCTACTCAAACACAGTCGGAAGGAAGGGGGTAATTAAATCTCTACAAATCTCTACAAATCTTGTCAAGTAAAAATATACAGGGATTAATTCTAACCACTCAACGCTTTCGTTATGGTAAATTCTTCTGTGTGGTTTTATGTGAACTTTCTACAGGCTTAACAAGGCTCTTGTCACAATACGGAAGCCCAGAAAATTCCAAGCCACTGCTCACAAGACTAGAGCCAGCTGTACACCAGGTGTATCAGCTGTGTCAGACTGCCGCCTTGTGGCCAGATGGGAGCATTGCTTGCAACCTATCACCACCAGGACATGATTGCCATGTTTTGTTTTATGCAGCACCCCAAGTGCCTAGAAAAGTGTGTGCAATGTTGTAGGCACTACTTAAATATTTTTCACACGAGTATCATTTGTTTATACATTCTTGACCTTTATCCTTGAGTAGAAAAATATAGGTTTAGTTAAGACAGATCTTCCAGAAAAGGCACAAAGCTACACAGAGAAACCCTATCTCGAAAAAACAAAAACAAAAAAAAAAACAACAAAAAAAAAAAGACAGAAGATCTTCTCCCTTAAGAATAATATACTGCTATACTGCTTTTCAAGCTGGGCAGTGGTGGCACGTGCCTGTAATCCCAGCACTTAAGAGGCAGAAGCAGGCAAATCTCTGTGAATTTGAAGCCAGCCTGGTCTACAGAGTGAGTTCCAGGACAGCTAAGACTACACCGAGAAATTCTGTCTTGGAAAACCAAAAAAAAAAAAAAAAAAAAGAATATACTACTTTTACGCCAGGAGTGGTAGCCCACGATTTTAATCACAGCACTAGGGAGGCAGAGGCAGGTGGATCTCTAAGTTCGAGGTCAGTTTGGAACTAGAACTACAGAGTGAGTTCCAGGACAGCAAGCGCTACTCAGAAAAACTCTGTGGTGCTGAGGGGTGGGGCAGGGTATACTACCCTTGGCCAGGAGTGGGAGCATATTCCTTTAATCCCAGCACTCAGGAGGCAGAGGCAGATCTCTCTGAGTTCCAGGCTAGCCTGGTCTACAGAACAGCTCTAAAACAGCCATAAAAACAAACAAAAAATATACTACTTTTGCAAATTTTTTACCTAGGAACAGAAATAATATATACAGTGATTGATATACAGAATTGAGATGAATTACCCAAACTGTATATGAAAACAGGGAAAGGTCTGTCACACAACCTAGTGTTTCAACTGCTTTTGGTATTCAAAGCAGAGAGTCTCTAGCTACATAAACTGGATGGAGGGCATCACACTAGACAGATTAGTAATATACAAAAGCCATTTATGCCACAGACTGTTTCAACAGCAACACATCTTCTGGAACAACTATCACTCTGGCTTTGTTTGTAGGTTTAGATGACAGAGTCTCACTGCATTTTCTAGAATCAGATGCCTCAGTCTCCCAGGGCTGGGATTATAGGTATGCACCACCACACCTAGCCTGATAGGTTTGAGTTTGGGGATTGTTTTTGGTGGTGATGATGGTAGTTGGCTGCTTGCTGTCACTGTGGATTAAACCTGAAGTCTGATGAATGTCTGGCAAACCCTCTATCACTAAGTTATGTCACCAGCTCTTTTTTTCATTTGAGACAAGGTTTACTCCGTTGTCCTGGCAGGACTGAAAATCACCATCCTCCTGCTACAGCTCTCCCCCAAGTATCTGGCATGGCATGTACCACCAGACCTAGCTTTGACAGTTTTGAAAACATGAGAAAGACTATCTCTGCATTCAGCCTATTCAGAGTCTGGAAGAGGGTTGTCAGTGAAAAGCAGGGTTTCTGAAACATAAATCAAAAAAGTTAAGATCCCACTAGGGTCTGGTTTCTCTTACCCTGTTACCTGGCATGTTTATAACAAATCATCAGTCATTTTCCATTCATGTGAAATGCTTTTTACCAAATAAATAACCAAATAATTGAAAACAAAAATACTTTGAAATAACCATTAACTTTTTCTTTCCTTTACTCTGGCAGATTCAGAGAAGTGGGTCAATACTGACATGCTCCATCTTTACTTTGAGCTGAGATCTGGGTGGTGTATTTATTTCCCAGCACATGGAATAAAGTAGGAGTTGGGTAGCTTAGAACAGCCAAAATGTATGTCTCACAAGTCTAAGGACTTTGAATTCAAAGTCCAGGTGTTGGCAGGGCCAAGCTCACTGTGAGACCTTGACAGGGAGGATTGATTGTTCCTTGCCTCTTTCTGCCCAACATTCCCTGGATTGTGGAAGCATTCTTGCAGACCCTCCCTCCACCTCCACATGGCCTCTTCTCCACACTGCCTTCCCTTTTTGTCCTCTCTATATTTTCACACAGACCTCACTCCACAACTGTGTTCAAAATTCTCCTGACAAGAATGCCATATTGGATGGACTAGGGCCCAACATGCCTCACTTTATTTCTGTGAAAACCTTTTTCTGTGGACCTAGGGGCTAGACTTGAAGGATCTGTTTGGGGAAATACAACTTGCCAGGGTTTCATCAGATTGTCAGCCCTTTGTGAGACATTCCTATTCACGTTTTTCCAAAGCAAACAGCCATCCCCAGAATGATTCTGCATCCTACAAGGTTCCCAGAAATAAGCGGCTGCAGTGGCTCAGGGGCTCCCAAACTAAAGATCCAAATCTGGGCCGCTACCAACAACCAAAGATTCCTATTCCAGAGCAGCTGTCAGTATCTTGGGTTCACAGGACAATACAGCAGTCTTCAGACGGCTACCACACAAGTTCACCTGCTGACGCTGCTTTAGTCTAGCTAACCTACTGCTAGAGTGGACAGACTGTACAAGCACAACCTGCATTTTCCAACATGCTCAACTGAAACCCATTTGCCTACCATACCAAATGCTGTCCAATCTCTCTTGAATAAACTACTTCTAGGATGCCTTTAACTGTCTAAGTCTACTTCTTCATACAGTTGTCTTTGGCATCCCCCACCCCATCCCCTTGGGACTCTGGTGGCCTTTTCTAGTTATGTGGCACCTGTGACATACTTCCCCTTAGATTGTCAGTATGTTTCTTTTCATTTTCCTTATTGTTCCCTAAGATTACAACCA